GCCGCCGCGGCCGGCGCACCGCGCCGATCCAATGGCAGGAGCCAGGTACTTCTCCTGGTCTCCCATGGGGTGCAGTACCACTGCTGAGATTGTAGTGTTTAATGTCAGTATCAGTTACATTCTATTAAATCTCACTCTGTTAAATTGTACATCGTCCTATGGTATGGTCCTTTTATTTACTAATTTCTACCCAAAATGTAGATATAAAAACCTCAATTAACTTTTCCTCTACTAATGGCCTTTCTGAGACATCTCTACTCCATGAGTAGGCCTACTTTATTACCTTTAAAGTGTTGACAGATGAGAGTTTATATAATGTGACAGCAAAAATTTTGGTTTAGGAAAGTCTACTGAAGTTTAAGGAAAAGCTGAGTTTAGCAAAGCACTCAGATGTAAATAACTTCCTAACTCTCCCAAACTCTTGGGAAGCATACCACTAGCAATCAATTTTCATGGGGCAGGTGGAGGGGGATGCTGCAGGAGAAGTCAGCTCCCCGTGTCTGGCTCATGGCTGGGGGCAGGCTCAGGAGGTATTCTCTAATTTTCAGCCATTATCATTGTTTGCGTATCACACTCATTTATAGCTTGATGATTTAGATGCCCGTAGTAACACAGATTGCTGAATTACTCTCGATATTCTTAACGTCCAGCCAACATGCTCAATAACTGCTTGTAGAATCAGATAATTAGCATATTTAGCAAAAGAACAGAGGTCTATCTCATGAGATCCTTTTAAGGATAAAATGAATTAATATTAATATTTGCTTAGAACAGTGCCCGGCACATACTAAGTTGTCTATAAAATGTTGGATAGTAGAAGTCCTTGGGTCCCTTTTTGCAATATCAAAATCCCAAAGTGCTCCAAAATTTGTTTTGTTTTATAATACTTTTGGCAGCAAAACTACCTTGTAGTTTTGATTTGTAGTCTTTATTTATACCACCTAAGGTGAGTATTTTATGTCACTCCAGGTCCTATCAGAGGGGTTCTATAATACATCGCATGTGCACCAGATGCTCTCTCCAAAATTTAAAAATTCTGATTTTTTAAATACATTGAATACAAAGGACTTTGGATAAGGGACTAGGAACAAGTATCACTATATTTTGAAAGAATGTTGTAATACAGGTTTCAGAACTGGGGATATTTGAGTCTGAATAAAATTAAGGACATGAAATATTTACTTGTAAAAGATAAACTTTCAAGACATATACTAAAAATAGATGAGTAATTAGCCCTTAGCAAATTTAATAAATGTCCTTAGCTCACATTCACTCATTCCTTCCCTTCCATTCTTACTAAAAATGATCATCTTCCCAGCCAACGCTAATTCTGTTCCCTCCTGCTGCCTCCTCAGGGACCTTACCCTGTAGGTTAGCAACTCTTTCTTCTATATCCAGCTTAGTCTTCTCTCCTTGTTACAATCACTAATGTTTAAACTCACTTAATTCTCTCCTGTCATAAATCTGGCATTTAAAGTTATTCTCCAGTAGCCACCTTGTCTTCTTCTTGAAGCACTGCACGCATCTACCTATTTTTCCTTTCATTCCTCAATCCAGCACAGCTTGGCTTCCAATCTCACCACTGCATGACATTGCTCAAGACTGCATTAAAACACCTGTTCGTGATGTAATTTGACCTCCTTTCAGCAGCAGGCACTGTTCACCACTCCTTCCTCCTTAATCCTTAAAATTCCACGTGTGGCCTTTGAACTTGATGCTCAACACACTCCTTGCATGGTCACATTGACTCGTGATGCAATTCTTCATTGGCTGATGCTTTCTAAATCTGCATCCTGCAATTTCCTTTTATTAACTTCAAATACTGTCTAATAGACATTGTCACCTGGATGTCCCTTGGGTGACCAAATTCAGGTTGAAACTGAATTTACCTTTTTTCCTAAACCTGTATACTTGATCCTTGTGTGTTCTCCATGGAGTGAAAGGCACCAACTTCCAGCCAGTTATCAAAGAGCCAGGAAGTCATCTTCAACTCCTTCTTCTTCATCACCTTTTTTATATAATCAGTCATCAAGACCTGCCAACTCAACTTCCTGAATGTCTCTCTAGTATCTGAGACCAAAAGTGTCTCTATTTCAGGGCACATATTTCCAGTTTAAATTACTAAATCAAACTCTTCACAGGGTTTGACCTCCTATATTGACCTTGACTAATCCATTTTCCACAGTGTAACCAGACATGAGATCGTGTCTCCCCCTCGTTAGAGCTCTCAACAGCTTCAAAAGTCCTCAAAATAAAGTCCATACTTATTCATAAAGGCTTATGTCTTACAATCTCTTCCTTAAACTTTATATTCTATCAAACAATCAACAAACGTTTCTTGAATGCCTATAATGTGCTAGGCATGGTCTGGGATCTGAGGACACAGCAATATACCAGCCAAAAGTCCAGGCATCAAGGAGCATATAACCAGGGAAAGCAAATACAAATATTCCAGATTCTAATTTAGAACAAAGAACCAAGAGAGGGTGGGAGTATGCTACGTCAGTTAGGATACACAGATGACATTTTAATCGAGAGATCTGGAAGTCCCAGCCAACCATATGTCTAGCACACTCCTACTAATCTTTCCGATTTCAGCTGAGATTTCCCTTGGGAAGTTTTCCTGTTGTCTTGAGTCTGTGTTGGCAGCAAGTCTCAGGTATTCTGTAGCACTGTGTGTTGATTATACACTTACTACTCAGGGTGCCAATGTCATTACTTCTCTGTTTCCTTGTCTACAGAAACAGGAAATCTCATGTCAGGGGACATCCCTAGTGCCTGGTTCAGTGCTGACCGTACTTGAGGTGCTCAGTCTGTATTTTCTGAATGGGAGATTAATTAATATCATCAAATAATACTGATCCGTAGGCCCAGTTGATTTTAAAGAGGGAAATACATCCTTTGAAAAGGAGTGTTGATCGACTGAAATAAAGACCACATAAAACACTTCACTATTTCCATTTGCTTTAGTATTTTTTTCAGGATTTATTTATTTATTTGAAAGGCAGTGTTACAGAGAGAAAGGGAGAGACAGAGAGATCTTTCATTAGCTGGTTCACTTCCCAAATGGCTATAACAGACAGGACTAGGCCAGGCCAAAGCCAGGAGCCAGGAGCCAGGAGCCAGGAGCCAGGAGCCAGGAACTTCCTCCAGGTCTCCCACGTAGGTGCAGGAGCCCAGGTACTTCAGCCATCTCCCACTGCTTTACCACGTGCATAAGCAGGGAGCTGGGTCAGAAGTGGAGCAGCTGAGCCGGCGCCGCAGCTCACTAGGCTAATCCTCTGCCTTGCAGTGCCGGCACACCGGGTTCTAGTCCCGGTTGCCCCTCTTCCAGGCTAGCTCTCTGCTGTGGCCAGGGAGTGCAGAGGAGGATGGCCCAAGTACTTGGGCCCTGCACCCCATGGGAGACCAGGAGAAGTACCTGGCTCCTGCCATCGGATCAGCGCGGTGCACCGGCCGCGGCGGCCATTGGAGGGTGAACCAATGGCAAAGGAAGAGCTTCTCTCTGTCTCTCTCTTTTTCACTGTCCACTCTGCCTGTCAAAAAAAAAAAAAAAAAAAAAAAAAAAGTGGAGCAGCTGAGATTCAAACTTGCGCCTACATGGGATGCCAGCACCACAGGTCACGGCCCCACTGAACCAAGGTGCTGGCCCCATGCTTTACTATTGTTAATCTAAAAACTGAGGCATAAAACTCAACATCTAGATTACTCATGTCTTTCAATTTATGCTTCTCTGTTACTTTTAAATTCCCAGACTCTGTAAAAATATACAGCTTTTGTTGTGCATGAAATTTTGGAATATGAAGTTACAGACTTAAAAAACTAATGATTCTTCAGCTCTGTTAAATACTCAACTTTCAGTGAAAGTTAACTGCATGATGATCTTCTCTTTGATGTCAGGATTTTTGTACTGACAATGGGTGAGTTATAAGGCCTCTTATCTACTCTTAATTCTAAACTCAAGAATAAATGTAAGAATGAAAAACATAATACCATATGGCAATCTACTGACTGCTACATAGGTGACATCTGCCCCACAGGATTCTGTCCCATATGACTCTGGCAAGGCTCCCAGATAACAGAAAACTTCTTTTGAGCTCATGCATCACCTTCTAGGCACTTCATAATAGTAACTCCTACACACTGTCCACGTTAAAAAAAATCTACAGATCTTCCCCTATGGCACTCACTGTGAAGGTCTCCAGCCAAGCAGACATAACTGTACTTGGTGTCTTATAATTCTCCACCAAACAGTTTCTAAGCAACCCTCCCAATGTGATAGTTAACACATAAAAGTCTGGGAAAATGAAGAGATGGAAAAGTAGGTAAGTGCAGATGACTGGTCAGTCCTCCCACTGAGGACCGTTAACTTGTAAGTTTTTAGTGACACCTTGAAGGTAGCACTACAGTCTCTACAGTTTCAGCAAAGACTGGATTTTTGTAAGCTTGGCAGCCTTATTTTCTATCAGTTGGTCAGGCTATCACTGTATATTGATTAGATTGTAGCTGGTAGGCAATGTCATGTAAGAACCACATGCTAACCGATTGTGCAACTGGAGCTCCATAGTAGACAATATCAAATACAGTTCTGCTTCCATATTCAGAAAGTGATAGCCAGACCTTCTCTACGTGGCTTAGAGTGAGGAAATCAGCTAATGGTCTGTTTGCTTAGGTAATATTTCTAGGTCCCCATAACTATAGTTAGTCAACTTGCTTTTGTTGCCTTAGTTTTATTACTCTGTTTCTAGTTTACTGAACTTCGGTGAAAAGCATTTCAAATCCAAGGTCCTTCTTCAAAATAAGAGTTAACTGCTTTGCAGGAATAATAGAAATTGTAAAGAGGTAATACAGATGAGCACATCTGTGTTGAAACTGAGAAAAACCAGCTTAAAATGGAAAGGAAACAGGTAAAGCACTGTTGAGAAACAATGCAAACAATGACATACAGAACAAAAGAAAATAAAAAGATATATGAGAGAATATTAAAAAATGTCACTTACCCTTAATTCCTCCTTTGTATTGAAACTGTCAAGGAGCTGTTGATAATGTCTATCTGTCATTTGCCGTAAAAGGGACAGGAGACAAGCAACAAATTCCCCCTAGTTAAAAATAAAAAAGGTATACATTTTAGAAGGTACATAAAAGAACATCAGTAACTTACTCTGAACTGCCCTTAATGAGAATACTGTACAAAAAAAATCACCATGATTCAAATTTATCCTGAGAAGTCTTTTTTTTTAAGATGTATTTATTTATTTGAAAGGCAGAGTTACAGAGAGGCAGAGAAAGAGAGAGAGAGAGAGGGAGAGAGAGAGAAAGAGAAAGAGAGAGAGGTCTTTCATTTGCTGCTTCACTCCCCAGATGGCTGCAACAGCCACAGCTGCACTAATCCAAAGCCAGGAGCCTGGAGCTTCTTCCGGGTCTCCATGCAGTGCAGGGGCCCAAGGGCTCGGGCCTTTTCCTATTGCTTTTCCAGGCCATAGCAGAGAGCTGGATCACAAGTGGAACAGCTGGGACTCAAACCGTTGCCCATATGGGATGCCGACGTTGTGGGCAGTGGCTTTACCCACTATGCCACAGTGCTGGTCCCAGAAATCTTCTTAATTTCCATTACTTATAATGTCACAGCCAAAATTTCTCCCTACGGTGACTATCATTTACTTGGGATACATGCATTTTTCAATTTCGAGTGGATTCTTTTTCTGTTGGGTGGAAGCTTTTCACTCAAAAACTAACTCCATACACTAAAAAGAGATAAGGCAATGAAGCCCTTGACCATTTATTAGGTATTTAAAATACCTTTGTTCATTTCTTATTTAAGCCTCACATGAATGATGTCAGGTAGGGTGTATAATGCTCATTTAAAGAAAGCCTAATGCAATTTCAGTTGGGCTGAAGACTTGCCCAAAGCCAACAAATAGAAAGCTGAAGAGCCAGAGTTATCCTGAGGTCTTTCTGACTCTAAAACTCTTCCTCCAACTTCATCCTCCATTTATGAATTCACGTGAATTCCTCCACTGTGTTCAGAGTTCTGGTCTGCTCACTTGCAGAGGGCAAAGAAAGCCACACATTGTGTCATACTCACTTCAATCTTCATTTAAAAAATAGTTTTAGGGGTGGGTGTTACAACACAGTGAGTTAAGCCATTGCTTGGGATGCCTGCAGCCCATATTGGAGCACTGGTTCAACTCCTTGCTGCTGTAACCTTCTGATCCAGCTTCTTGCTGGATCAGAGGTACAGGATGATGGTCCAAGTACATGGTTCCCTACCACTTATGTGAGACTCACAGGAAGTCCTGGCTCCTAGTTCTGGCCAGGCTCAGTCTTAGCTATTTGTGGACATTTGGGAGAGTGGACCAGTAGACAGAAGATATCTTTCTCTTTCTCTCTCCTACTCTGCCTTTCAAATAAGTAAATAAATAAATAAACCTTAAAAGGTAGTGTTAACAGATGCATGTTCATGTCCCAGCTGCTCCTCTTCCAATCTAGCTCTCTCTGATTATGACATGGGAAAGCAGTGGAAGATGGACCAAGTGCTTGGGCCCCTGCACTTGCATGGGACATGCAGAAGATGCTCCTGGCTCCGGGTTTCAGATTGGCCCAACTCCAGTCGCTGTGGCCATTTGGGTAGTGAACCAGTGGATGGAAGATTCCTTTCTCTCTGCTTCTCACTTTCTCTGTCTGTAACTCTACCTTTCAAATAAATAAATAAAAAAAAACTTAAAAAAAATAAATAGCACTAACATAATATTCTTTGTGCTTTGGACAACATGTGATTTACTCCTACAAATTCCAATTCTTAAAAATTAATGATGAAAAGAAAAATATCCATAGAATCTTTAAAGACATACATACTACTCTGCTAATAAACAAACAAACAAAACCCTGATACTTAGCATAAGAAATGAAAAATTTAAAGGCTACCTTTCTGATATTTTATGCAGGTGTGTGAAAATGATGCAAGGCTAGAAAAGTAACTGTTTAAAAGGGCTGAAAGAACAGTGCCCTGTGATCACACTCAACTAGGAATATGGCCTTTTTTCAATAGCCAAACTGAAGAGACGTGACAATAAACAGAGTATCAGCTAGAGACCTTTCAGTGGTGGGGAAACATGGCTACTTGTCCAAATGTTGCTCTGGTCTTACTTCACAAAATTCAAAAGAAAGGCTTCAAACGATTAATTTCTAGGAAAGTTAGCCTTACCCAAGATTAAATCTCAATTTTTTTAGGAATTAAAAAAAAATCCAACTCCCCAAAAGTAAAATTCACAAAATTCAGCATTCAATCAAACATCACTAGTTAAGCAAATAAGCAGAAAAACATAATGATGTGAATGGTTGATTTTAGAACAATCAGTCAATTATAAGAGATCCAGAGCTAACACAGATTAATACATTTGATAGGTAATGACATTAAAATAGCTATTATTACCATATTATATTTATTCAGGAAGCTAGGGGAAACATTGAGTGTGTTAATTAGACTCACAGAAGACATAAAAATTGACTTAAACTGAATTTCTAAAGATTACAATGTAAGAAGAAAATTTATTCAGCAGGACCAACGGCAGGTAAAATATTACAGAAGAAAAGATTATTAAACTGAAGGGAGGGTAACAGAAATTCTCCAAAATAAAGCACAGAGAAAAAAAATTAGAAAAACAATGGCAAATGCATCAGTAAATCATAGGACAACTTCAAGAAAAAAAAATAAAAGTAACTGGACGTCCTTAATTGGAAGAGTGACAGAAGGAATTGAAGACAGAGGTAAAAAACTTTTCCAGTGTTTTTGAAAACTATAACCTTACATACCAAAGAATTTGAAGAAATCCAAAGCATAAGAAACATGAAGAAAATTATACAAATGCACATCATAATTATACCACTTATAGTCAGTGATAAAAAATATCTTAACATCAGGATGAAAAAGGCACATTTCATATAAAGGAACAATGATAAGGATGAGAGAATGTTTTTCTTGGGAAAACGTATGCTAAAAGACAGTGGAGTGGCCAGCGCCGTGGCTCACTTGGCTAATCCTCTGCCTGCAGCGCCGGCACCCCAGGTTCTAGTCCCAGTTGGGGTGCCAGATTCTGTCCTGGTTGCTCCTCTTCCAGTCTAGCTCTCTGCTGTGGCCCGGGAAGGCAGTGGAGGATGGCCCAAGTGCTTGGGTGCCTGCACCCGCATGGGAGACCAGGAGGAAGCACCTGGCTCCTGGCTTCGGATCTGCGCAGTGTGCTGGCTGTAGCAGCCATTTGGGGAGTGAACCAACGGAAGGAAGACCTTTCTCCCTGTCTCTCTCTCTCTCTCTCTCTCTCTCTCACTGTCTAAATCTGCCTGTCAAAAAAAATTAAAAAAAAAAAAAGACAGTTGAGTAACAATCTTAGGGAAACAAAAGGCAAGACAAACAAAAACCTACAACTATCCTACCCTGCCAAATACTTCTTATAGAATTCTCCTGCATTCTCCCAACCTCCCCACCACAAACCGACCTTAAACAAAACACACAATATATCTCTTACATATGGCCCTATGCTGAACTGAGACACTTGAATTATAAATTCTGTTTAAGAGAATTAGGTGCGAAGAAACACTTGTAAAATGTAAGGAGCTCTGGAGTCTAATTAGTTGAGGGTGTGAGGAAAATGGCCACTTATGCTGCTTTATAAAATCTGATTCTAAGTAGAGTACAATAAGACTTTTTAAAGGAACTGATTACAATGGTGCTTCTTCTTTCTTTTCAGCTAGAGAGAGCATTTTAAAGTTTAACGAACGGTTGGTGGAAGAACAAAAAGTACAATCCTTTTAAATTTGTACAAATAAGGCCTCTAGTAAACGGAATCATGACACAACAGAGCCAGTCCTCTCGCATGGCCTGGGAAATTAATCAGACCAACCTGGGGGAACTGTTTTTACAAAACCTAAGTGTTTCTACTCTTCATGGGCACTTTTTCATACAGATGTTCAGAGAGACTGAGAAGGTTGGTGTATGACTACCCAGTAAAGATGCCCAGAGCCTGTTAACTAAGATTCAGAAAGAGCCAAGAGGATGTCAAATTCAATCAAAAAGAACAAACAATGGATGTGAACATTGAGATGACAAAGATATTACAATTATTTGATACCTCTCACTTAAAAATTAACTAAAAATGATTCATAATGTATCAAAATATAAAGTCATAATACTCTTGGGAAAAAATAAAGCAGTAACCTTCAGGTTATAGGGTTAAGCAAGACAGTTCTTACAACTTGACAACAAAAGCACAATCCTTAAAAGGAAAAAATAATAAATTGGACTTGATCAAAATTAAAAATACTTGCTTTGCAAACCCTGTTAAGGGGAGGAAAAAAAAGCTGAAGAATGGTACAAAACATCTTCAAACCACATACTGAACAGTAAACTACATAATATCTAGAAAATATGAAGAACTCTTAAAATGCTACGGAAAAATCCAGCTACAAAATGGGAAAAACCATGGAGATATATTTCACTGAAGAGTAAATATCAGAAGGCAAATCAGGATATGAAAAGATGTTCAGCATCATCAGCCATTATTCATTAGGAAAATGCAAATTAAAACCACAGTAGGATATCATCATGTACCCAGCAAAATGCACTCCTCTAAAAACAAGGTGACAGCATCCAATGCTAATGAGGACTTTGAGAAACCAGATTATTCACACATTGTATACATGAGAATACAAAGTGGTACAGCCACTAGGGGAAGAAGCTGGGTCATTACTTTAAAAAAGTGAACAGGTAGCTACCATATGATCCAGAAATTACACCCCTGGGTGCCCATATTAGAGAAATGAAGACTTCTGTGCACATGAAAACCTACATGTGAATGTTCATATAATAGTTTTATTAATACAATTCTGAAACAACCCCAAAGTCATCATTGGATAAATGGTTAGACACACTGTGGATGTCTATACTATGTAATACCATTCAGCAAAAACAAAACCTCAAAACAATAACTACTGAAAAACATAGCAGCCAGGTGAACTTCCAGAGAATCATGCTGAGCTTAAAAAAAGTCACAAAAAGCTATATTTTGTGTGATTCTATTTATATAACATTCTTGATGAAATTATGGAAATAGAGAACGGACAAGTATTTATCAGCAGTTAGGGAGGAGGTGGAAGTGGTAAGGTTCAGCTATAAAAATACAACGAGGGACATTGGATTAAGATGATGGAGTATGGTGGGAGCTTACAGCTTTAGAGTAGGAGGAGATAATTTAAAAAAAGTGGAGAGAGTGCAGTAGCAGGGAGGAGTTAGGGAGAAAATGGTAAAGCAAGCTCCACGTAAATTAGAGGGACAAAGTGGACCTACGTGGAGGGTGTGGAAATGCACAAATCAGGACCCCAGCAGCCAAGAGCCTCAGCACCAGCTTTGGAGAGTGAAGCGAGACCAGACTGCAGCAGTCCAAGCCACTGGCGATAAAGCTGCAGGAAAAGCCTGGAGGGAATTCGGCCTGTGGGGGATAGCGTACCTGCCTAATTAGAGGAGAAAAAAAGGGACGGCTGGTTTCTTTCTCCCCAATCATGCAGCAATGGTGTCCTGTAACAAGCTGATATAGAGTGAGTGCCATTTTGGACATATGTAACAGCTGTGCCAGCTCATGTCTGTGCCCAAAAACTAGCCAAGCAGAGACTTGGGCACTGTGTAATGATTAACAGATCAATTCAAAAGGAAGATGTTACTATTATAAACATGTATGCACCTAATTACAAGGCACATGGCTATTTAAAAGAAATGTTAAGGGATTTAAAGGGAGATACAGACTCCCATACAACAGTACTGGGGGACTTCAATACTTGACTTTCAGGAATGGACAGATCAACCAGACAGAAAGTCAACAAGGAAACAGTAGATTTAATCAACAAATGGACCTAACAGATATCTACAGTACTTTTCATCCTACAGTTGCAGAATACACATTCTTCTCACCAGTACATGGAACCTTCTCTAGGATTGACCACATACTAGGCCATAAAGCAAGTCTCAGCGAATTCAAAAGAATCAAAATCATACCATGCATCTTCTTGGACCGCAATGGAATGAAGCTGGAAATCGGCAACTCAGAAATCTCTAGAGCATATGCAAACACATGGAGACTGAACAAGATGCTCCTGAATGAACAGTGGGTCATAGAAGAATTCAAAAGAGAAATCAAAAAATTTCTGGAAACAAATGAAGATGACAACACAACATATCAAAACTTAATGGGATACAACAAAAGCAGTGTTAAGAGGAAAGTTTATAGCAATAGGTGTTTACATCAAGAAATTGGAAAGACACCAAATAAATGAACTATCAGTGCATCTCATGGATCTAGAAAAACAACAGCAAACCAAATCCAAAGCTAATAGGAGAAAAGAAATAATTAAAATTAGAGTAGAAATCAACAATATTAATCCAAAAAAATAATACAAAAGATCAGCAAAATAAAGAGGTGGTTTTTTTGAAAAAATAAACAAAATTGACACACCATTGGCCCAACTAACCAAAAAAAGGAGAGAGAAGACCTAAATCAATATAATTAGAGATGAAAAATGGAATGTAACAGACACCACAGAAATAAAAAGAATCATCAGAAATTACTACAAAGAGTTATATGCCAACTAGGATACCTAGCAGAAATGGACAGATTCCTGGACACACATAAGCCACCTAAATTGAGCCATGAAGACAAAGAAAACCTAAACAGTCTCATAACCAAGATGGAAATAGAATCAGTAATAACAGCCCTCCAAACAAAGAAAAGCCCAGGAATGGATGGCTTCACTGCTGAATCCTACCAGACATTTAAAGAGGAACTAACTCTACTTCTTCTCAAGTTATTTGAAACAATTGAAAGAGAGGGAATCTTCCCAAACTCTTTATACAAAGCCAGCATCACCTTAATTCCTAAACCTGAAAAAGATGCAACAGAGAAAGAAAATTACAGACTAATTTCCCAGATGAACACAGACGCAAAAATCCTCAACAAAATTCTAGCCAATAGAATGCAACAACACATCAGAAAGATCACCCACCCAGACCAACTGGGATTTATCCCTGGTATGCAGGGATGGTTTAACATTCACAAACCAATCAATGTGATACACCACATTAACAAACTGCTGAACAAAAACCATATGATTATCTCAGTAGATGCAAAGAAAACATTTGATAAAATACAATACCTTTCATGATGAAAACTCTAAGCAAATTTGGTATAGAAGGAATATTCTTCAACACAAGGCAATTTATGACAAACCCACAGCCAGCATCATAGTAAATGAGGAAAAGTTGGAAGTATTCTCACTGAGATCCGGTACCAGACAGGGATGCCCACTCTCACCATTGCTATTCAATATAGTACTGGAAGTTTTAGCAAGAGCCATTACGCAAGAAAAAGAAATCAAAGGGATACAAATTATGAAGGAGGAAGTCAAACTATTCCTATTTGCAGATGACATGATTCTATATATAGGGCATACAAAAGACTCCACTAAGAGACTATTGGAACTCATAGAGGAATATGGCAAAGTAGCAGGATATAAAATTGCTACACAAAGATCAACAGCCTTTGTATACACAGACAATGCCAGGGCTAAGAAAGAACTTCTAAGGTCAATCCTATTCACAATAGCCACAAAAAAAATTTCAAATACCTTGGAATAAATTTAACCAAGGATGTCAAAGATCTCTATGATGAGAATTACAATCATTAAAGAAAGAAATAGAAGATACAAAAAAGTGTAGTGAGTAAAGCCACTGCCTACAGTGCTGGCATCCCATATGGGTGCCGATTGAATCCCCGCTGCTCTGCTTCCCACCAGCTCTCTGCTATGGCCTGGGAAAGCAGTATAAGATGACCCAAGTCCTTGGGCCCCTGCACCCATGTGGGAGAACTGGAAGAAACTCTTGGCTCCTGGCTTCAGATCAGCCCAGCTCTGGGTTGCAGCTATCAGGGGAGTGAAGCAGTGGATGGAAGACCTCTCTCTCTGTCTCTCTGTAACTCTGCCTTTCAACTAAATAAATAAATAAATCTTTTTTTAAAAAATTATTTATTTGTTTAGTTGAAAGGCAGAGTGGGAGAGAAAGAGAGAGAGGGAGAGAAAGAGAGAGAGGAGAGAGAGAGAGAGAGAGAGAGAGACAGAGATCTTCCATTTGCTGGTTCACCCCCTTGATGGTTAGCACTGAGTCAGGCTGAACCCAGGAGCCAGGACATTCATCCAGGTCTCCCACAAGGTTATAGGGGCCCAAACACTTGGGCCATCTTCTGCTGCTTTTCCCAGGCCATTAACAGGGAGCTGGATCAGAAGCGGAGCAGCTGGGACAGGAATCAATACCCATTTGGGAGGCTGGCATTGTACGTGGCAGCTTTACCTGCTATGTTACAATGCTGGCCCTAGAAGAATATTGTTAATAAGACCTAAACATTTTTCCCCTTTGGTCAACTGAATATGAGTTTTAAATAGATACATGTGTGTATATACAGCCATATAAATTTATAAATATCTAGATATAAACTATCAAATACATTATTTTTAATATTTCATATGATTCATGCACATCAGACTTAAAAGGACAGTGCTTGAAGGAATTTTAGAATCGACCAGATCCAACCTTCTCTTTACAACAGAGGAAACAGGCCTAAAGAGTTAAGGTCCTGAAAGCCATAGTGAATAATTCAGAATCAGAACCCAGGCCCCTGATTCCTATCGTTCTACTTCACTATTTTCAGGTCCTCACACAGTTTGATGTATAAGAAGAGAGTGGTGGCCGGCGCCATGGCTCTCTTGGCTAATCCTCCGCCTGCAGCACCGGCACCCCAGGTTCTAGTCCTGGTTGGGGCTCTGGATTTTGTCCTGGTTGCTCCTCTTCCAGTCTAGCTCTCTGCTGTGGCCCGGGAAGGCAGTGGAAGATGGCCCAAGTGCTTGGGCCCTGCACCCACATGGGAAACCAGGAGGAAGCACCTGGTTCCTGGCTTTGGATCGGCACAGTGCGCCAGCTGTGGCAGCCATCTGGGGGATGAACCAACAGAAAAAGGAAGACCTTTCTCTCTGTCTCTCAATCTCTCTCTCACTGTCTAACTCTGCCTGTCCAAAAAAAAAAAAAAAAAAAAAGAGAGAGAGAGAGAGAGAATGATGGCTGGCGCTGTGGAGTAGCCACTACCTGCAATGTCAGCATCCTACATGGGTGCTGGTTTGAGTTCCTACTGCTCCACTTCTGATCCAGTTCCCTACTAATACACCTAGGAAAGTGCTTGGGCCCTTGTACCCACATGGGAGACTTAGATGAATCTTCTGGCTCTTGGTTTTGGCTTGGCCCAGTGCCAGCCACTGTGGCTATCTGGTGAGTGAACCAGAGGATGAAAGATCTCTGTCTGTCTCTCTATTTCTCCTTTGACTTTCAAAGAAATAAAGTATATCTAAAATAAAAAAAAGAGAATGAAAAATAACCAAGCTGATTGGGATATTAAAATCATTGATTCATAGAAACTGGGTAAAGAACCAGTAATAAGGATGGCTTTCTGACATTAAAAACTGCTCATTCCAGTGCCGTTATCGCCACATAGGTGGCTTTCGCCTGCAACACCAGTAACCCATATGGGTATCATATGGGGTCCTGGCTGCTCCTCCTCTGAGCCCACTCCCTGCTAAAGGCCTGGGAAAAGCAGTGGAAGATGATCCAAGTACTTGGGCCCCTGCCACCCACGTGGGAAGTCTGGAGGAAGCTCTTGGCTTTGGCCTGGCTAGCCCCGGGTGTTATGGTCATCTATGGAGAGAACCAGTGGATAGAAGATCTCACTGTTTCTCTCCCTGCCTGCCTCTGCATCTCTGACTTTCAAATAAGACAGAATTCTTAAAAGAAAAATCTGCTCATTCCAAGGTAGGAAAGAAGCCTCCTACCCCAGTGGCCCTGTAAAAGGAAGGCAGCCTGATGAATGTTTGAAATGCTCACATGTCTTTTTCCCAAGGCCAGACTTCCCCAGGTCTAACAGAAACCCACTCTCCAAGTGACATAAGCAGGCTCTGTTCTGTGTGCCACTCGTCTCAGGCTCTTACAGTGACATCCTGGAACTGGAGCCGCATGCTGGAGCCCGAGGGCTGGGGCCGACTGGTGATCTCCAGGATGGTTCTCAGCAGGATGTCCAGCAGGCTGGCCACGATCACGTCTATCTCCTCCAACACCGATTTTTCCTTAAGAGAAGAAAAGCACGCGCTCAGCAAAGTGTGGCTGAATTCGTTTATGAAAATCTCTCCCGGAAGGGGTGAAAGCCCATCCCCAAATACAGAGTAGAAGGGTCTAAGAACTCAAGAGCATAAGAACGCTCGACTTCACCTCAGGGAATGGCCTTCTCTGACAAAAAACAAAAGGCAGAGAAGTAAAAGGCTTTCAGGGGATACCTGAGATGCAAAACAAACAAACAAACAAAAGAGTTGGCGTGATCCCAGCTATGTGCCTACTAGGGTATGCAGCCCTGGGTGAGCTGGTATCCCTCTCTGGACTTGGTTCTTAAAGTCTGTAATTCCTCAGTTCCTGGCTGTGTTTACATTTGCTCTTCCCACTACTGGAGTTGCACAGGACATTTTGCAAAATTCTATTTTGTATATAAAAAAATCCCTACATGTAAATAGGAAACAGGGATCAATTTAGGCAAATGTCCCTGGCTAGAGAAGACCTAAGATTAGCAGTCACAGCAGGGATGTTTTCCTGAAGCAAAGTTAATCATATCCAAGCCCCTAGGACGTAAGAAACACAAACTTCTCTACACTGAGTATCTGTGGTGGATTTGGGTTCTTACACTTGCAGAAGACCAGATGCACATACATATGTTCCTACCAAGGATTTTGTTAACTGGCCATGGATACTTCTGGAAAGTGAGTTTGAAAGAGCCTGTGGCTAGGATTTTAATTCACATTTACAAGAAAACTCCCAAAGTTTTTCCCCTAATGAATTGGTTTCTGCTCTCAAGTCCTACCAACTAAGTCCAAAAAACGGACTACAAGGAGCAGATGCTTGGCCTAGAGGTTAAGATGCTGTTCAAGACACCTGTGTCTCACATTGCAGTGCCTGGGTTTCATACTTCACTCCAGCTCTTGACAGCAGCTTCATGGTAATACAGACCTGCATTGGTGATGGTTCAAGTGATTAGATTCCTGTCATCCACAGGGGACACCCGGATTGAGTTGCTGGCTCCCAGCTTTAGCTCTATTTGGGCATTTGAGGAACAAACCAGAGGGTGGGAGTACTTGCTCACTGTCTTTCCCTCTGCCTTTCACATTAATTAAGTTAAAACAAGGCTAGAAATTCCAAATAGAAATATTCAAGAAGAAATAAAAGGAAATTACCTCCACAACTGCTGATATTTGATTTTGTCTTTGTGTAGTAAACTATTTCATCTATTTTTACTCTCCATTTGTAGTTTGGTAAAACATTCTCAGTAGGCATGGCAAGTCTGTTCTCTGTTGAATGGTACAAGGGGGTTTTAAGGCAGAACCAACACCTCTGTCCAGCTCCAGGTCATCCCTGGGTCTGGTGGGAGGTAAAAGTGAACTGTCCCCTTCTGGGCAGGTCCTTCTTATTACACTTTCAGAGAGAGGTGCAGCTTCTGCCTTTTTCTCTCAAGTACCAACTTTGTGTCCATACTCCTAGGGCCCCATCTCCAACACTGTCCCTAGGGTCTCACCCTGGTCCACTTATCTTCAGAAACTGATCATGAGTAAGAGCAACAAAAATGGGGAATCTGTAGCATAGAGGAATACGGAGACGGAGAAGCAAGTCTCAGGACTGGTCACCAGGCTGCTTTTCAGAGCCTATTCCAGGTGAGCACAGCGCCTAGTTAACAGCTGCAGATGGACAGCACTGGAGCAGAACATCCTCCCTATGTGGATCCACACCAGACCCCGACCCATGAACACAAGTGCTCTGAGCTGTCCATTGTAAGCAAGCCTGCAATTTTTTCCCATTTTGCACTGTACTCTTTAATGCAATTGCATTGCATGACGAGTCAAGCACATCAGCAGAAATCTCCAAAGCTGAAACAACTTGGAAGATTACTACTGGGGCCAAGGAATAGCTGTGCTCCAAGATACCCCAGTCTCCTGGGGCTGTCCTCTGCTTCTGCAATCTCCATGGGACCAGGCCCAAGGGTCATGGCCAAGTTCAGCCCATCACCACGCAGCTTTTCACAGAATGGGCCCCAGATGACTTGACTTGCAAGCAGTAATTTATTCTTGCCATGGAGCCTTCATCACATCAAGATTAAAGACACATGTGGGAGCTTTTCGCTTTCTAATTTTTCTCACTTCTTCCTTGAATACAAGCTTAGGAAACCCAGGTTATTTGGGGTTACCACAATCTCATAAGGTTTAAAAAGAAATTCTCAGAAGAGAAGCAAAAAGTCCAGCACAGCTAGAAATAAAAGAGTCTCAGAGGGTTCCTCTTTAGTGTGATATCTTTGAAGATTTTGCAAATGCTATTTCCAGAAGGCATTGGATGGGAACTACATACTATGACCTGTATTTACTTACTGAGCTATTTTTCTTGATGAGACAAAATACGTTGCTAAGGATACGCGCGCACATGATCAAGTCCTTCTGCTCTTGCAAGTGGATGTGGAGGTGATGCAACACGACAGGCAGGAGAATGTACCGGGAGTCTGAGGAGAGAAGAATCATTAGTGTCACATCTGTTAAGAGTCCCACGCAAACCTCCGGCGGATCCTTATCTACTTTTTAATCCAACTTTAATTGGTAAAGGATAACAGAAGTAATCGCAAGGGTACTAGTTCTACAAGGTTTTTATTGAAAAGCAGCAGTTCCCTTCCCCAGGGCACCATCGTTGCACCCAGGAGGTCTTTGACTCTTTCAGTCGAAATAGGTTTCTCCCCCTGCCCTGTGATTATTTGTTTTTGCCTCCAAACTTCTAAATCATGTGCTTCGTGAGCTACTTCCTGAATTTTATTCAAGACAGACCATCTACTGACTCTTACCATGGTGGATGAGGATTGGCTTTACCCCTCTCCCTTCATCCCCAGCCTTTCACAAAATTACATCACAATTTCAGATTAAATGAACATTGTAGTTTTGCTGCCATTCTGATTTCCAACACTTTGCTCGTGATCACATTCTCTGTTTTGTTTTTCTCTGTCTGAAAGTGGTTGGGAAATTCTTTGTCCGTGGTAATTCGATATTGCATGATAAGTGCCTTGCTCTGGCCCTCTCAATCCACAAACTCATGCCCTTCAATTCTGGGAACTTGCCTTGAATCCTAGGGTGGTTTCCTCCCCTTTATTTTTCTGTCCTCTGTCTGCAGCTTCAACCACATTCACATTGTGATTTGCTGGAAGTGCCTTCTATTTTTCTCAAACATTTTTCCATCATTTTGTCCAACTTTCTGGTTAATTTCTTACTCTTTCAATCCTGCTAATAATCTTAGTTATGCTGTCACATATTTCATTTTCTTACTCTTAGGACCAGTGTTATGCATGTGTAAACTAGACACACAGGGCTCTGTGCTCAGAGGGGACCATGTTTGCTTTAATGCTTTGCTTCCTTGAAATGTTTTAAAAATTTTATTAATTTTACTTGAGACACACACACACACACACACACACACACACAGCTCCCATGTTCCCATGTGGCTGCTCTATTCCTCAAATGCCCGCAACACCTGGGCCTGGCCTGGGACTGCAGCCAGGAGCCAGGAACTCAACTCAGGTCTCCCATGTGGTGACAGGGACCCAACTACTTTGAGCTATCACCTGCTGCTTCCCAGGGTCTATATATTTGCAAGTTGTTGTCAGGAGCTGCAGTTGGGAACCAAAGCCAGTCCGTTTGATGTGAGACACAGGTGTCTCAACCACTAGACGAAACACCCAGTCTCTGCCTTAAAATTCTTAATTTTCAAACAATAGGTCTACATTTTCATTATGCAACCATGCCTATTAATTTCTTGCTGACTGTTCTCTTTTTATAGCTTCCCATTCTTGTTTCATGAATGTACAGATTTAATATCTTCTTGTCTTCCTGAGTTGCCTTTTTTTTTTTTTCAAGTTATTTTTCTGTTTCTTCATTTTGGCCTCTGCTTTTCACCTTAGATGTCCTTCTCCAGTATCTGGTTCTCTTTTGTTGCTCATTCACTTTTGCAAGCTGGAGCCTAAAAGGTTCATCAGCAAAACCAAAAGTTTTGCAAGTGTATGGCATGGCACAGCCTCACCGAAGGACCTCTGGGGTTTCCTTGGGCAGGGCACCTCCCTGTTCCAGTGTCTGAGATGATTCCTGATGGCTGCTCTGCTTCCCTGGAGAGGAGTCTGCCAATCTCCTCTCTGAGGAGCGTGCGCCTCTCCTTATGTAACTTGAAATCCACAAAATGGGGGATGGGAATCTTTCTGTCTAATTTTTTAATTTTTCTGTCCATCTAATCTTAAGGCGTGGAGTCCAGTGTGGAGCCTCATTCCCAAGCCCAGGTTGTCTGATGCTCCTGCATCCAGACCAGATCTGACTCTCTGTGGAGAGTAAACCTTCAGCATTTTGAACAAGAGGGAAGGGGAGCAGGACAAGGCAGGATGCTGACCCCTTGCACATGTATGGCAAATAATCTTCAGCGATAGCCAATACTTCACTTTCTGATGCTTTCTGGGGCTGCCTGGCTCTTCTTAGACTGCACCGTGAAAGAGCGTGCTCCTTAGCTCTAACACAACTCCACACACACGGCGCCTGCACTTCAGCCTTCTTTGACTGCCAGGTCGGTGACCCGCCTCTTTGTAAAAACCGCAGCTTTCTCAAAAGTTACACCTCCTCTCCCATTCTCATATGCATGTGAGCTTACACCTTCACAAAAATACTCCATTCCTAACCAGAGACACAAAACTCTGTTTCAAAACTTAAGCAAATCAGTTCCTGCAACATATAAAGTCTACTTCATAACCAGATAGGGTTTATCCTAAAAGCAATATTTAACATCTGAAAATCCTATCAGTACACTAAAAAGCAGATAGTATCAGGAAAGAAAGATAAATACAGTTGGTCTCTGTCATTTGTGCCAGTTATGTTTTATACATTGCCGAGAACAATTAAACAGCAAATACTAAACGACTATTCCCAGGCGAAAAATAAGAGTAAAGATTGACATAAACATAGATTCAGATATACACAATACAGATGTCACATAGAATACAATCTAAAACAACTCATCTGGGGAGACTTCATTTTCCTTATTTTACAGAAGAGAAATGATCTCAGGTGTTATGTGACTTACCAGAGGCTGTCCCACTCAGAGGTGGCACCTGGCCAGAGAGCTATTGCTGCTTGCACTGCCCTGCCCCCTGCCCTCTACCACCTCCATCCTCTGGTCATTTCTGTTTGAGAGTGGAAATGAAGGCCGAGGGCCACCTTGCTCCACCTCAGCAAGGAAATGTGTACATCCAGTGACTTAACGTTTGTCTCAGCTCAGTGTTTATCTGCGAACGACTGCAAAAGCGCTGTGAGTTTTGATTTTGGGACTGCAAACAAGCTTTAGTAAGCAGGTGGATCTGTAATTATGGGATGTGCCCCAGACTCTTTCTCTGCATTGCTTGGTTTTTCTAAAAGATGTCGTCTGTGCCACAATTCAGATGGACTATTAATGGTTCATAAAAACCCACGTGCCTTTAAAATAGTTTGTATAAATTATAATTCCACTGAGTCACTCAAGAAAAGATACTGTATATAATGAAGAAGCTGAACTTGGAATTAAAAACCTCCACACAAGGAAAATTCCAAGCCCAGATGGTTTCCCTGGTAGGTCTAGGACATAAATAATACATTAGAGAGAAATACAATGTTAATGCACTGGAATTCTCAACATTGTTACCAGGCCAATCTTCTCAAATTGATTGATACAATCAATACAATCTCAGCCAAAATCCTAGCAGGTTTTTTACGAAAAGAAATCAACAAGCTGAAGCCAAAATTGATAGGAATATGCAAAGGACCCAGAAAAGCCAAAACCGTTTTCAGAAAGAACAAATTTGGAAGACTTCTGCTACCCGATTTCAGAACTTTTTATAAAGCTATAGGAATTAAGATAGTAAGGACAAATACACAGATCACTGGACAATAATGGAGTCTAAAAACAGATAGCTGATTTTCAACAGATTCTCTTATTACCAAACTCTACTTAAACTCCCCTAAAGACATTTTCAACTAGGCCTGACTTTTGAACTCCTGTGTTCATCCCTGCATTGTCTAATTTTAGCAAGAATCCTAAGTTATAATTTAACCAAAATATCCCAACTTTGATACCTTATTGGGTTCTTTATTCTCAATCACTCTGTAGGTGATAACTGATGACCCTGGCCTGTGTTCAGCAAGAATCCTGTTACATCATTTTAGTCTGAATCACCCCTTATCTCTATTTCATCTTAGTAATTTTTTGTCCATCAATGCCCATTCTGATTCTTGGTATAAATTTCACTTGCCCATGCTGTATTTGGGGTTGAGCCCAGTCTCTATCTCCCACTGAAAACACCATTACAGTGGTTTCCACACTTAACAAGCATGACCTCCACTTTTGAATAAAGTCTACTGCACATCTTCAACAAGTCTCACTGAATAATTCTTTTCTTTAACAAGTGCCATCAGTCTAATGGAGAAATAATTGTTTCAACAAATGCTGATGTAACAACTGAACACTCAAAAGCAAAAATAAATAAATAAACCTTGGGGGCCCGCATTATGGCACAGTTTGGGACACCTTCATGCCATACTGGAATGTTGGTTTGAGTCCTGGATCCTCTACTTCTGACCCAGCTTTCTGGAAATGCAAACTTGGGAGGCAGCATGTGATGGTCCAAGTAACAGACTCCTGCCATTCACATCTGAGAACTAGATAGAGTTCCTGGCTCCTGGCTTCAGGTTGACCCAGCTTGGCTATTATAGTTATTTGGAGAGTAAACCAAACGTTGGAAGATATCTTCCTCTCTCTCCTCTCTCAAATAAGTAAATAAATAAATCTTTTTTAAAAAAGAACTTTTAGCCTTACCTCACATCAAAAATGGAAATTAACTGGAGTGACCCATAGATCTAAATGCAAGGAGTAAAGCTGAAAACTTTTGGAGGAAAACAGGAGAAAATCCAAGTGACCATGAGCTAGACATGTTTTTTTTTTAATTATTATTATTATTTTTTGACAGGCAGAGTGGACAGTGAGAGAGAGAGACAGAGAGAAAGATCTTCCTTTTCCGTTGGTTCACCCCCCAGTGGCCGTGCTGATCTGAAGCCAGGAGCCAGGTGCCTCTCCTGGTCTCCCATGCGGGTGCAGGGCCCAAGGACATGGGCCATCCTCCACTGCACTCCCAGGACACAGCAGAGAGCTGGACTGGAAGATGAGCAACCGGGACAGGATCCGGTGCACAGACGGGGACGAGAACCCGGTGTGGCAGCGCCGCAGGTGGAGGATTAGCCTATTGAGCTGCGGCACCGTCCAGAAATAATGTTTCTTTTCTTTTCTTTTCTTTTTTTTTTTTTTCTTTTTTTTTTTTTTGATAGGCAGAGTGGACAGTGAGAGAGAGAGACAGAGAGAAAGGTCTTCCTTTACCGTTGGTTCACCCTCCAATGGCTGCCGCGGCACCGCGCTGATCCGAAAACAGGAGCCAGGTGCTTCTCCTGGTCTCCCATG